TCTTCTTTGTGGCAGCCCCTGAGATATTGGAACATTGCTATCATGTCCCCCCTCATCCTTCTCTTCATTAAACTAAACATATCCAATTCCATCAGCCGTTCCTTATATGCTTTAGCCTCCAGTCCCCTAATCATCTTTGTTGCTTTTCTCTGTACTCTTTCTAGAGTCTCAACATCTTTTTTGCATCACGGTGACCAAAACTGGATGCAGTATTCCAAGTGTGGCCTTACCAAGACATTGTAAAGTGGTATTAATACCTCACGTGATCTTGATTCTATCCTGTTAATGCAGCCTAGAACTGTTATGGCTTTTTTGGCAGTTGCAGCCCACTGCTGGATCATATTTAAATGATTGTCCATGAGGACTCCAAGATCCCTCTCACAGTTGCTACTTTTGAGCAAGTTGCACTATATCTGTGCATTTAGTTTTTCTTGCCTAAATGTAGAACCTTACTTTTTTTCACCATTTAATTTCATTTTGTTAGATACTGCCCAATGTTCAAATCTTCAATATCCTTCTGTATCTTAAGCCTATCTTCTACAGTGTTGGCTATTCATGCCAGCTTGGTGTCGTCTGCCAATTTGATGAGTTCCCCATCTATCCCCTCATCCAAGTCATTAATGAAGAATATGGGCCTAGAACAGAGCCTTGGGGTACCCCAATGCATAGTTCCCTCCATGTAGATGCAGTTCCATTGAGGACTACATATTGAGTGCGGTTGGTCAGCCAGTTACGAATCCATCTTGTGGTGATGCTGTCTAACCCACCTTTTTCCTATCTTATCTATAGTAGAATGTGGTCTACTTTATCAAATGCCTTACTGAAGTCCAAATAAAGGATATCCACAGCATTCCAACTATTGTGAAGATTTACAAACAAGCACACACACTGTTCCAACTCCTTAAAAAAACTGTACATTAACAAACATTGATTCTGGAGTCAAGTTTATGAAGCTTCCCTTTTTTTCAGATCTTATGTCACAACAAAGCTATCAAAAAGATGTTTCTTTTGTCTGCATCTGTATGTATGTTTTCATCTTTCCAGTGCTGCTGTTTCTAAGCAATTACTGCAAAAGCAAAGAAACTAATACTTTCAACTTCTGAATATTTGGCTTGATTTTTTAAAGTGAATGGCAAATTCCTTCTGGGAATCCTCCTGGTGCCCAGGAGACCTTCAGTCAAATTGCCCTTCATCAAATAAACATTTCCAGTAATTGAAATTACACTAAAGCGCTTCTGTGATTTTTTTTTAAAAAAATGCAATTTAGCAAAGCCATAGACACAGAGTCCCACTTTTATAGATAAATGCCGCACACTAATTTTCTAGCTTGCAGCTTACCTATTTTTTCTTCATATGGGAAATAATCAAATTATTTATCAGTAACAGAACCCAATTATGTTCTGCATCAGCACTGAGGGAAGCCTTAGTTCTTCCTTGAAGCTATTTGTTATTTATTAATCAAATTTATATAGCTGCTCATCTTACTGATGCGACTCTGGGAGGTGCACAACAATCGATAAAGAATATAAAAACAGTGAATAAATATAAAAGATTCTACTAATAAATATCTTTAAAAAAAACAAAATTCAATCAAAGTGGTGGGAGAGCAACTCCTTGTGAACCAATTTTCTCAAGAGGCAATGGATCCAGAATGGGAAACATTTCTGAGGGGCAGAGATTACCTGACACAGGTTAACATCCTCCAATGTAGCAAAGGGAGTGCCCTGCTCCTGGATCAGCTGAGCGATCACTAGACACTTACCCATGACTGTTCGTCCTAGCTTCCTTCAATGAGCTGACAGGTTTTATGGAAACTAGAAACTTCCATGCATGAGCAGTAAATGTTGCTGCAGAAATTGAAGGCAGGCAAAACGTTTTGATATAAAGGATAATTGTTCTGGCCATCGGTGTGGAGCTCTGTTTGTCCAGTTTCCAAATTCATGATTCTCTACTATGGAAACAGGATTGCATAATATAAAGGGATATTATGTATTTCTTCATTGTTCTGATAACTTTAATAATAATAATAATAATAATAATAATAATAGTAATAATAAGTTGGAAGGGACCTTGGAGGTTAGGTGCTTAAGCCAGGGTGTCACTCTGTTGTATTGCATAAAACATGTCTGATTGTATTTGGTTCATGCTCTTAATATAAAGCCATTGTTTAAAACCATAAAGACTCAATTCATATAGCACATTGAGTAAAAACCAAGAAACCAATTAAAGCTCACCTTATAAGTCCAGCCAGTCTAGGGTCAATATTATGATTTTAAAGTCTTGTGTTTGTGTGTATGTGTGTGTGCTATTTTATAACTTACTTTTTATGTGATTATTTTTAGGGATGGCAAGTTGGGTATAAATTCTTAACTACAAAGAGAGAGAGAGAGAGAGAGAGCAAAAAACCACTCTAATTCTGTGATTTATTGAAGTAAAAGTGTACTACAGTTTCTTTCCTGGCTGTCTAGTATAAGAGTTATTGTGATAGTGAACAATTAATTTATATAAATCAATGCTTTACGATCTGATAACAATAGTCAGGGAGTTAGAGGGCTTTATGAGGAGGAAAGAGGGTGACTTCTCATTTTCCAAGATTTTGTTATATGCACAAAGCATGTTAACAAAAGACCTAACAATCACTGCATGCAGAAACCGTTTTTGTTTCAGTAGAATGCGGTTTGAGGCCATCAATTAACTACGTCATGCAAATGAGAGTCTTGGAGCAGAGCTTAATCAGAGACACTAGTTGCTAAAATACAGTTTCAGTTTCTTGCCATGGTAAACAATTCATTTGCATGTCTTGATTCAGGTCATACTAAAAGAGAATTTTCTCAAAAACAGTTGGTTTTGGTGACATTTCAATGTAAGAAACAACTATAATAAATCAAACATGCTCCCTACGTGGAGGCAACATAAAACATATCTTACCTTTTTTATTCTTTAATTAATTTATTAAATGTAGGATTTAGGTCATTTGACTTGTTTATAATCAAATGGGAAAACAAGCTAATTGTCCCTGTTTCATTTTAGTGGTCCTGATGGTCTGTTTAACCTGGGACATAACATTTTCATGATTCTGTGTGTAGAAAAACAAAACATACAAATGCAACATAATCTTTATTTTAAGCAAAAATCTCTGAATCTCATACATATTCAAGAAACAGTCTTAAGAAAAACATGTTGAATGGTTGCAGTCTTGTTCTTTGGATGTATGCTCAGAGATGAAGCTGGGAGAGGCAGAATTTTCTGAGAAGCCACAAAAAATGTATGGAATAATAAAATAATTTCATTAACTTGCCTTCTGATACATGGGTGTTTGATGACTTGGTTATACACACCATGGTAGCCTTTTCCTGATAGTACCCATAACATTTTCAAAATTCTACATTGTCCACCAATCCTAAAATCTTAATATGGCTATGCAGGACTGCATTCATAGTGATCTGAATATAGGCATAAAATGAATTGGTAGATGAGATAAATATCACAAACCTTTTTTATTAGCAAGATTTTCAAATAAAACCAGAAAAATATTCTAGTTTACCAACCAATATATACTTTATATCTATGAAAGCAAACATCTTTGGCACTGAGATACTTCATTAAAACAAAGCATCAACAATGTCTTTTGGCTGATGACAAAATATTACCTAATAAACAATAAACCCATACAAAAAAATAGCAGAGTACAATTCCCAATACATTGCACAGAAAATGAGGGTATTGATCCATAAATATAGTCAGACACTTAGTCATAATTTCAAATATATAATAATATTATATTTTGACTTAAAGTATCAATACTGTGACATTTTTACTAAAAAGAGACTAAAAGAAAAGGGAAATACCTACACAAGCATAAATAGTTTGAGATTCTATGTCCAATAATTCAATCTTTGTAGAAATTCAATAAATCAATAAATACTACAATGAAAAAGTATTTATTTAACTGTTCAAAAGAAAAGCATATAACCTATCTTTCAGCAGACATAAAAACCAAAAGGACATTACCTGGTTTTATAGGCTGAAGCCATATTGATGTGTTTAATGAATTTTCAAATTTAACATGCTTCTAAGTCCACTGCAAAATACCTGACATTGTGACAAGATGGCACATATGTACGGATCTCTCACAAGGATCTTATTAGCTACTGAGTTGTGTGTCTCCAACTAGATTACAGTTCTCTAAAATCAAGAATTGGGAATGAAATATAATAATAGTGGCATGTGCTTCAGGAGTTCAGTAAGGCGTTTGACCATAATCTATTTCTTGGTAAAATAGAGCAATCTGAGATAGCATCACCATCAGATGGAGTCACAACTGGCTGACCAACTGCACTCAACATGTAGTCCTCAATGGAACTACATCTATATGGAGGGAAGTATTCAGTGGGATACCCAAGGTTTTGTCTTAGGTCCAGTACTTTTCAACATCTTCATAGATGATTTAGATGAAGAGATAGAAGGGAACTGATCAAATTCACAGACAGTGCCAAACTAGCAAATGCACAGTTATAGAAAAAATGCCACTTGGCTCAATAGTACTAACTGTGAGAGGGATCTAGGAATCCAAGTGGACACCACTTAATTACAGCCATCAAGGTCCTTCAGCTGCCAAAATTATCAATGTAGTTCTAGGCTTCATCAACAGTGGAACAGTCTGTTCAAAAACGTATTAGTGCTGCTATATATTATATTGCCTTGATGAGACCACATTTGGAATACTGCATCCAGTTCTGGTCACCATGAAATAAAAAAGATGTTGAGACTCTAGAAAAAGTCCAGAGAAGAGCAACAAAGTTGATTATTGGGCTGGAGGCTAAAACATATAACAAACAATTGCAGGAACTGGGTATGTCTAGTTTAATGAAGAGAAGGACTGGGGTGACATGATAGCAGTGTTCCAACATTTGAGAGGTTTCACAAAGAAGAGAGAGTCAAGCTATTCTCCAAAGCATTTGAGGGCAAGACAAGAGCAATGGATGGAAACTTATCAAAGAGAGATCCAACCTAGAACTAAGGAGAAATTTTCCTGATAGTGAAAACAATTTGCCTTCAGAAGTTGTGGGGCCCCACTACTGGAGGTTTTTAAGAAATTAGACAGCCATTTGTCTGGAATGATATGAGGTCTCCTGTTTGGTCACATAGTTGGACTACAAGACATCTAAGGTTTCTTCCAACTCTGTTACTCTGTATTCTGCTAGTGGTATTTTTATGCACATGACTAGAAACATATGCAAAAGGCAGCTGGACCTATTCCTGCTTTTCTGTTGACTATGGAATATCTATCTGAGAGAGACTGAATTAGCAAAATTAGATATGATTTTCATATATAGACTGACTGTGACAGAATTCAATAAATGGCCAAATTTAAACAGATTTTCAGTGTTCTGAAAATGCCTATATCCAGTAGAGTATTTGCTCTGTCTTTTATCTCTGGGGAAAGTCAATCCCAAAAGTTATTTATTTATCCAATTTTTGTGGACAAGTGCCTCATTTGGTTAATGAAATGCCATCAATGGTCTGAAAATGTTGCCCGAGAGGCTTATCCCAATTTTTTATTAGAATGCACAATGTAACTTGTTCTCTCTTATTCCATGTTGTTAAGAAAAGAAAATTTAATCAGGACTCATTAATAATTTAATTCTAATAGTATTTTAATGAAACACGCATTAAGAATTAAATATCAAAATTCAGATGATTATCTGTAAAACATGCATCAATTAGAAAGAGATTGTCTGCCCGTACAAAATTAGAAAATGGATGTGCAAAGCAGACAGTCACTATTCCCTGAAAGCAATTCTTTTTCTTACTCTGACTTCATGTATTCCATTCTTTACTGTTAACACTTAAAAGTATAATTTTATCCTTGTTACAAAATATGGGAATATTTATTTTTTGATATTATGATTGGAGAATGAGACAGGGATTGTTAATTCTCGGAGTATTTGATTTTATAAGGCATGTTGGAATATTTTTTAAAATCTCTTGCCTGCTCTCAGTTGCTATTATTTTAATGAGCAGAAAAAAAGATTCTGTAGAAGAGATGGATAAGACAAATATGCAGAAGATTCTGTACATATTATCTGCACACTGGTGTGAAGAGATTGCAGAGGAATTTTTTGGCAATTCAATTCTTCACAGAAATAAACTGAATGCTACATTGCATTTCCACAAGTAACAAAAACAATAAAGCAATGGCATAATGCAGAAGAGGGCTTACATTTGGACATAACTCTTTGCACACTGGAAAATGTTCAGTAATATTCCAAGATCCTAGACAGACAGTGCTCTACCATTTTAGGTTGCATTAAGAAAACAATAAATACATTTATAAGAATGCAAGAGCTACATAAACACCACTTTCATCCTGAGATTGTGTCTTCTTAGTGATAGTCAACATTGTGAGCTTTGAAAATGTAATCTATGTAAAAAGATAAATTACAACCATTTAAAACGGCACACATTTGCTTTTAGATAGTCATACTTAAGTACAAAATACTTTGTAGTTATATTTGCAAAAATTAATCATTTCAGATTTGATCAAATCCAACAACAGATTACAGTGCATCTCTGTGTCATGACATTTTATCTTGGGTTTCAACAAAGAGAAGGAGGCTGAATATCAATGGAAAAATAATTGTCCAATGAAAGATAGGGTTCCTTGAAATCTCTTATAAAATAAATACAAAGAGAATATCACCAAAACATTATTTTCCTTGGAAAACTCAATAAAAAGCTATACAGCTTCTCTTTTAGCCTAAAGATTTAAAAAATGCAGAACATTGTTCATTCTAAGCTAGCATCTCCCCTACTATCAAATCTGTGGTTAGTTCATATGTAAGTCTGTAAAATATTGTTTTTTTAAAAGATCTTTGCATAAATTGTGCATGTTTTTGGATATATGATGAAATAAACTTTAATTTATGTGCTTGGTGATTTTTGTAGGGAACAAGGATGTATTTAATAGAATAATTCTGATTTAGCAACATTTATTTCTCTCCCAAGATTTTCTGTTTTTCCCTGATTTTTAGATGGCATTAAAAAACTTAAAGCCATATTAAAATATTTTAGGCCTTTTTTTAAACAAATTTTATGCATATATTATCTCCAACAATAAAGTATGTAGCTGACCTCAATTATAGAGGTCTGATTTTGAAGAAAGTATGTGATTATGGACTACAAATTGTCTTCCCAGCTATAAAACATGAAACCATTGCTGCTTAATTAATTATTAGATACACAAATAAAATAAAGATGTGGAATTCTTAGTGCTCTCCAAGCCTGATTGTTTGCATGCAAACATTTCATTACCCACCTAGATAACTTCACCAATGTGAGTCACCAATGATTTTATTTAGTTGGCTAATGAAATATCTGTAAGAAAACAACCAAACTCAGAGCACTCCACAGTTCAACCCTGAGCTATAAATATTCTCTTTTATTGAAACTAAAAATGACAAATCTACAATCCTAATGCACCTTCTGATTCTCACCGTAATTCTGTGCAGGTGTCCTCATTTCAAAAGCCCTTTATAGACAATAATTGTGGGAAATGTCAATGAGTGGGTAAAATAGAAGAATCAGAGAAGGGGATGTTATAAACCAAGGGAAAAGAAAAAGAAGCATTAGAATGAGAGAGAGAAAAGAGGTTTTACAACCCAGTTTGAGCTCCAGCATCCATCTCTTCTGGCATTGGCCATCATAAATTCCCCTTTACCTCTCCCCTCTACCAAAATAGACAGTGCCCTCCATTCTGAAGCAAAAACATACCTTGGGCTACACTGTCAAACATTTGCCAAACTGCAACTTTAGGATACCTCTTCCATGGAGCTGGAGAATCTGGTTATACTCTTTGGGCATGGCATGGAAACCAGGTTTTGGAAGTTGGTTATCATAGTAGTGATGACTTATGGGGACGCCTGCTATGCTTTTGGAGAAAGGCCAAAACCCATACAGCTTCACATTCTCACAGAGTTCCACTGCTGCACTGGTGATCATGAAGCCAGAAGACAGCCGATAGGCTTTGACACCCTTAGTTCTCCAGAATTGAGCAAGACTTTTGAGATACCTTGGATAGAAAAATATGGCCTTCTGCTTCGCACTGAACTCTTTCAGGGTGTGATGTACTTTGAAAGATGCTGCTGTGTTGCTTCTAAAGGAAAAAGCAGGTAGCAAAAGGAAAGCTTCTCCATAACTTGCAATGTTTTCCAGGAAGGTGGCCTTCTGATCATTCAGTCTGTTATATCTGGTCATAAGAGCAAAGAAACTGGATGTGGATATGTGCTAAAAATGCAGAGCACCTACCTTAAGCAGCAGTAGTTTAACTATAGACAGGCAGACAGAACGAGCTTACAGTTTATTTCAATTTACCAGCATTTGGTTTGTAGACAAAGTGAGCCACTTTTAACAAAATGACTATGCAAATTTTGTTTTGTGGAGAATCTATTTCCCCCTTTTCCTTTTGGTTCCTATGTTCAGTCAATGCATAACATAAACGTAGCTACAGCACTGAAGCAAAACCTTAAGGAGCACTGAGAGACAAGAAAGCCCATTGCCACTTTTTAGATAATGGTTTTCATTATTCAAATACTTTCTTGATCTCATAGCGATGGAGACATTTGTGGAAACAGAAGCTATACTTTTCCAACAATGACAAACATAAGAGGTCTCTCTTTGCATTAGCCTGCTTTTTAAAGAGGGAGTTTGGGATCATAAATGAAGCCAATAGAACTGAGAAGCCATGGTGATGATGATGACACACTAGTGAGCTTCTGGAATGTTTAGCCTAATAATTAAACACAGATTGCAAATAATAACAGTTATACTCACTTCTGAGCTATAATGCTTGGGTTAATAGTTACAAGGTTTGTCTTATTGCCAACATCCTGACTGACATTTCCACTGGTCGGGGGAAGGTTGCACCTGTAATTTTACAAAAGATGTTTAGATTCCACTCCTATTTTTCTATTATAGCAGTCAGATTTCTCTCAAGTATTAAAAAATACATTAATTTTACCAAATCAGGCACTATCCAACTTCTAGCCAGTTGAATTCTGAGAATTGTAATTTCATCACTTTTATAGTCTCATCACTGCATGTGAAGGATTGCATTTCTAAGGTTTATTCTAAATATGCCCTTAAGGAATTAATGGAATCTATGTTTTGGCATAACAGTATGCTGAAAATGTATCATATTTGAGGGTCAAAATTAGGAATCATAACTAACTTACAGCATTCCTTCTATAAAATGAGATGATGACCAATTATTTAGATGGATTTGAAATGACAAATTTATGTATCTACTAAAAATGAGTAACAGATACCATGTTATCCCTCTTGTCAGCCTTTCAAAAGGAAAATAGATGGAAAAGCAGTAATTCAGATGTAAGGTTGTTCTTAACTCCAGTTATGTTTGCAACAAGCCACAATGGAAGTACTTCAACAGATCATTTGGGGATAGAAAATTGTTGAGAGGGAAGTCTTCATTCACTAGAAAACCTCAGTATTAAGCTTACCTCAACACATGTATGGATCTAATGAAGCAGATTTCATTACATAGCAATAAAAAAGCAAATATAGCAGAATAACCCAACCCAATAACCCTTTGCTTGCTATTCCACTTAGAACTGACCATATTGTATACTGAACATCTAAACTCCAGCACAATCAGCTGGTACTGAAAGGTGGGGACAAACAGTATTATTTTTGCAGTTAATGATCTTTATATTCTTTTACATGTTCCTTCATCTTCTAGATGTATTAGGCTATAACTCCAGCCATCCATAGCCAACATGACCACATTGGAAAAGGCTGGTTCGCTCCCTTTCTTATTAATGGGCTGTGGTGAGTTGATTATCATATTTAAAATTTCTCACCTAAACACAAAGTCAGATTTATCAATTTCAGCTCCACAATTAGAACTCTTGAGATTTCCTCCATTTCCAACAACTGCACACTGCTTGAAAGGAAAATCCAGAGGCTGAGACTGAAAACAAGAGACAGTGACAGACTATGTTAGAGTTTAAAAGGGCAAGGGCATGCACTTCTTCTCTTATTTAAAGTAGTTACTGAGTGATGAAGATAGATCATTATCTCTATTGCTGGCAAGTATAAGTCTCCTATCTTTAAACTCCCAGTATTTTCCAGGGACCAAATAATTCTGGGTACACACATTGCACTAAGAATTTTTTTTAATTTAATCATGGTTTGTTGAAATGTCACTGCAAAACCATAAACATGGTCTACAACATTATAATAGCAGCATTTATATACCAATCAAGACTAAAGTATATAAGGGTTTAACATGAAATGTGAATCCAGTCAATGAATGGATATCTTCCTATAGTGTATCTCCATAATTTCTTACCATATGTGCTTTCTAAAATGCTAGAACATGAAGTATGAAGCAATTTTACATTTGAGTCATTGTATTTTGCCTAATCATGTCTTTCAAGTTGACAATAGTTTTTCAAGCAAGAGACATTCTCCAGTTCTGGTGAGGTGGGATTGGACTTCACATCTGACTAGAACTGAAGAGAGTAGAATTTAATTTTTCTAACTATTCTTGTCAAAGTTGAACTAAAAAATATTCTTTCTCTACCTTTTTTTGGTCTTATACTGTTATGATATTATCAGAGCTCTTCTTACCTCTGGCAACATCTGAAATATGTCTTCTGTAATATGGATGGTTTTTTTATTGTCCACTTCATAAGTCATGTTGCTTCCCAATGGGGTATTATTTTGAGAAGCAATAAAATTATGCACAGCATCACAGCATGAAGCAAGCTCTGCCCTAAAGTTCATAATAAAAATGAAAGACCAATATAATGAGTTTAGTAGAGATATCAATATGATGATAATCATTATCAAATAAAATTAACTTCTGATTCATATTGTTTATTATTATAAACATGCATGAATGTCCCCAACAAGACATTCTTGAGATAAGTTGGATTTCAATTCATATAATTCACTCAGTTTGGCTAACAAAGGCTAGCTGAGGATTTTAAGAGTTGGAATGCAACATATTTTTGAGGACATCATGGTGAAGAAGGTTCATCAAGAACTTTTCTGGATTACCGAGCTTTATTTTCAAGCAATGAAACACCAAAGTTATTTTGTCATTTACTGCCTTTTTGTGACGAAGGGACTTGCATAACTCAATGAAGCTATGAGCTATGCCATACAGGGCCACCCAAGACGGACAGGTCATAGCAGAGAGTTCTGACAAAATGTGATCCACTGGAGAAGGAAATGGCAAACCACTCCAGTATCTTTGCCATGAAAACCCCATGGACAGTACTAAAAGGCAAAAAGATATGACGCTGGAAGATGAGCCCCTCAGGTTGGAAGGTGTCCAATATGTTACTGGGGAAGAGCAGAGGGCTAGTACTAGTAGCGCCGAAAGAATGAAGTGACTGGGCCAAAGCCGAAAGGACACTCAGCTGTGGATATATCTGGTGGTGAAAGTCCGATGCTGTAAAGATCTTTTCTTCATAGGAACCTGGAATGTAAGATCCATGAATCAAGGCAAGCTAGATATAGTCAAACAAGAGATGACAAGACTGAACATCGATATCTTAGGAATCAGTGAACTAAAATGGATAGAAATGGTGAATTTAACTCAGATGACCATCAGGTATACTACTGCGGGCACAAATCCCTCAGAAGAAATGGAGTAGCCTTCATAGTCAATAAAGAATAGGAAAAGCAATAATGGGATACAACCCCCAAAATGACAGAATGATCTCAGTTCGAATCCAAGGCAAACCATTCAATATCACTGTAGTTCAAATCTATGCCCCAACCACTGGTGCTGAAGAGGATGAAATTGACCGGTTCTATGAAGCCCCACAGCACCTTATAGAATTAACACCAAAACATGATGTCCTTATTATCATGGGTGATTGGAATGCTAAAGTAGGAAGCCAAAAGATAACTGGAATAACAGGCAAGTTTGGCTTTGGAGTACAAAATGAAGCAGGGCACATTTTGATAGAATTTTGTCAAGAGAATACGATGGTCATAACAAACACTCTTTTCCAACAACCCAAGAGACAGCTCTACACATGGACATCACCAGATGGTCAACACAGAAATCAAATTGACTATGTGCTCTGCAGCCAAAGATGGAGAAGCTCTATACAGTCAGTAAAAACAAGACCAGGAGCTGACTATGGCTCAGATCATGAGCTTCTTGTTGCAAAATTTAGGCTTAAATTGAAGAAAGTAGAGAAAAGCACTAGGCCACTCAGGTATGAACTAAATCATATTCCTGATGAATATACAGTAGAGGTAACAAATAGATTTAAGGAATTAGATCTGATAGACAGAGTGCCTGAAGAACTATGGACGGAGGTTCGCAACGTTGTACAAGAAGTAGCAACTAAAACTATCCCAAAGAAAAAGAAATGCAAGAAAGCAAAATGTCTGTCTAAGGAAGCTTTGCAAATAGCTGAGGAAAGAAGGGAAGCGAAAGGCAAAGGAGAAAGAGAAGATACACCCAGAGAATAGCTAGAAAAGAATACCTTCTTAAATGAACAGTGCAAAGAAATAGAAGAAAACAACAGAATAGGGAGGACCAGAGATCTCTTCAAGAAAATTGGAGATATGAAGGAAATGTTTCATTCAAAGATGGGCATGATAAAGGACCAAAATGACAGGGACTTAACAGAGGCAGAAGAGATTAAGAAGAGGTGGCAAAACTACACAGAAGAACTATACAAGAACGAGCTTAACGTCCCAGATAACCACGATGGGGTGGTCACTGACCTCAAGCCAGACATCCTAGAAAAGGCATGTCAAACACAAGGCCTGCAAAGTGGTTTCATGTGGCCCGTGAAGCCACCCTGGAAACAGTGAGGGAATGGCCCCTGCTGCCCTGGCCCTGGCCCAGGCCAGCCGGGAGCCAATGTACAATTTTGTGATGGCCATCTATGCTGAAGTGCATTCAGTCTTAGCTCCACAAGGCCGTCCAGAAACAGCAAGGAACCAGCCCCTGCTGTGTCAGCCCCACCCCCTGGGTGCATGCTGGGGAGGTGTCACTCTTTGTGAGGAATGAAGAAATGCACCTTGCCTTGGCGCTTGCCCCAGTCCCACCCCCTTCTGCCAGAGACCCTCTGTCCCACTCCTGCCCAGGTTCCCACAGGCCCCCTTGATGCAAACAATGTAGAGCTGTCCATGCCCACCCAGTAGGCCACACCCACTCCATCCACACCCGCCCAGTAGGCAGCACCCAGCCTGGCCACACTCACCTGGCCCCCCAAGGGCAACTGCAATGCTGATGCGGTCCTCAATGAAATTGAATTTGACACCCCTGTCCTAGATGTGGAAATGGGCCTTAGGAAATCTGAGCAACAACAAAGCTAGTGAAGATGACAGTATTCCAGCTGAGTTATTCAAAATCTTAAAAGACAATGCAGTAAAAGTGCTACACTCAATTTGCCAACAAATTTGGAAAACTCAACAGTGGCCATAGGATTGGGAAAGGTCAGTTTACATTCCAATTCCAAAGAAAGGCAAAGAATGTTCAAACTATCGCACCATTGCACTCATTTCACATGCTAGTAAAGTTATGCTTAAAACCTACAAGCTAGACTCCAGCAGTATGTGGATCGAGAACTACCAGAAGTACAGGCAGGATTTCAAAGAGACAGAGGAACTAGAGATCAAATTGCCAATATATGCTGGATCATGGAGAAAGCTAGGGAGTTCCAGAAAAACATCTACTTCTGATTCACTGACTATGCTAAAGCCTTTGATTGTGTGGATCACAACACATTGTGGCAAATTCTTAAAGAGATGGAAGTACCAGACCATCTTATTTGTCTCTTGAGAAATCTATATGCGGGTCAAGAAGCAAGAGTGAGAACTGGACACAGAACCACTGATTGGTTCAAAATTGGGAAAGGAGTCCGGCAAGGCTGTATTCTGTTGCCCTGCCTATTTAACTTATATGCAGAGCACATCATGAGAAAGGCAGGGCTAGATGAATCAAAAGTTGGAATGAAGATTGCCGGGAGAAATATCAACAACTTAAGATATGCAGATGATACCACTCTAATGGCAGAAAGTGAAGAGGAACTAAAAAGCCTCTTAATGCAGGTGAAGAAGGAGAGTGCAAAAGTTGGCCTGAAACTCAATATTAAGAAAACTAAAATCATGGCATCCGGCCCTCTCAATTCATGACAAATAGATGGGGAAGAAATGGAGGTAGTGACAGATTTTATTTTCCTGGGCTCCAAGATCACTTCAGATGGGGACTACAGCCAAGAAATTAAAAGAAGCTTAATCCTGGGGAGGAAAGCTATGGCAAATCTAGACAGCATACTAAAAAGCAGAGACATCACCCTGCCAACAAAAGTGCGTATAGTCAAGGCCATGGTTTTCCCAGTTGCAATGTATGGATGTGAAAGTTGGATCATAAGAAAGGCTGAGCGACAAAGAATTGAGGCCTTTGAACTGTGGTGCTGGAGACGACTCCTGCGAATCCCTTGAACTGCAAGGCATTCAAACCGGTCAGTCCTAGAAGAGATCAACCTGATTGCTCTTTAGAAGGCCAGATCCTTAAGTTGAAACTCAAATACTTTGGCTACCTAATGAGAAGGAAGGACTCACTGGAGAAAGGCCTAATGCTGAGAAAGATTGAGGGCAATAGAAGAAGGGGACGACAAAGAATGAGGTGGCTGGATGGAGTCACTGAAGCAGTAATGAACTTAAATGGAATCCAGAAGATGGTAGGGGACAGAAAGACCTGGAGGAATGTTGTCCATGGGGTCGCGATGGGTCGGACACGACTTTGCAATTAACAACAACAACAAAAATCTGTGTACTTATTTTTTTAATTAGAGATGGATATATTCCTGGTCAAATACCAGGATTACTGGACAACATTGAGAAAATACTATTGCTGCAGACTTTGTTTTGGAATTCTTTGAAGAAGAATTCTTGTCCAGTTAAAGAAAGCACATGGCAAAAAAAAATTGATCAGATATAAATAGGACTTAACTGATAACACTAATTTCACATCTCATTTTTATTAATGTCTATTAACATTAAGACTAGAGTAGATTCAGCTTAGTAATATGTTCAGATTTAAAGTATAAAGTACTCTTAAGATTCTGGGCAAAACATTATGTATCTATACAGTTAGGATCTGACCGTTTTGCACAGTGGGGTGCTTTTTTTGTACTTAAAAAGGCTTCTTGTTATTTTCAATATTCAAGTAAATTCAGCCATGTTGGCAGATATGTGGGGAAAAAAGCATGCGCAGCAAACTGCCGTGCTTCCCCCCCCCACAAACCTCATAACCTTTTGATACCCTTTGTCCCAGTGAAGCAGCCAGAAGGTCATCCCCTTTTGACTTAATGCCTCACCTACCAAAACAAATAATAGGCTTAGTTCCTTCCTATCTTTTCCTGTCTTTGTTAGTTCCTTCTCCTTTCATCTCCCTGTATTTGTTCTTTACCTGGTCTTTGACCATGTAATGTGTTACTAGGAAATAGTTGCTTATATGAAAGAATTTTCCAGTGAAGAAACTTTATGTCAGCATCTAATGGTTAAGCTTGTGTACGTAACAAGAATATAAAAACGAATAAACTCATAGAGTTTGTCAAGTGTGTCCTGCAGCTTCAAACCTCTGCTCAAGACATGCCTGTGTCTTTTTCTTAGCGTCTTACAAGATAAGTCACAAAATGTAACACCCTTACTTTAATATTATCTATAGCGTTTAGATATTTTAAAAACCTCCTTTTTTGCTTATGATCTTGATCATCTTTTTAACTGTGTCCCTTC